AACTTGATGAATCTTCCGCGTATTCTGATTTTATTAAGAGTTCGAAAATGTTTCGAGCTTGTATTTTTTGCGATTAAAGAGTAGCGAAATACATTCTTTGAATTAAATATAGGAAGATTTATTTTGAATCGTACTTCAAAACTAATACCATAAAAGAGAACAACTTTCATTTCGAAATGAGAGGTGGTAGAAAAGATCTTGTGGTACACAATAATATGAATTAAGAAATAATATTACATCAACACTTCAAAGTTTTAATATTTATTAAACATTTAGTACCCAGTGTCAACTTTTGGGAACACTGTTCCTACCTTCGGTGGGACTCGTAAAACATACGAAAGAAAGTTTATAAAAAACATAAAAGTAGGGAAGGGAAAGAAATGTATGAAAAATTTAGAGAAATTCTTAAATACAGTAAATCCTCATTAGCACGAACTTGCTCAGCACGAACTTGCTCAGCACGAAATACGTCGTGAACGAACAAAGTCCCACAAAAAAACATAGAAATCGGAAAATACAATTTTTTGAAAGAACACGGATTATTTCAGTCCCTTGAGATCGTGCTAACGAGTGTTACTGTATGTATCAATATATAACATATTAAATATTTTTATTCACCTTATCCTTCTACATTTCCAGTGCCCCCCTCCTTTTCGAGCATTCATTTCTCCCATTCCATAAGATGGCGATCTCGTAGCTGCTGTTCCCAGCACGTTTCCCACCTCTTATTGTTTAGTGTGATTCACGTAACTTCTTCTCTCATTAATTATTTCATGCAAATATATTTCTTTGCCCTATATTTTGTCTTTCCATACTGTAGTTTTCTCATACATTTCTTTTTGCCTTGTTATAGACCCCCTGGAGATCCCGGGAAGAAGTGCACCTGAAAGTTGTTTAAATAAATATTGAATTATTGTAGTTCCATAATTTCTCAATTCACATCATTTCACTTTCAGTTTCCTAATTAGTATTAATGCGTAACATTGTGTGATAAAAAAGAACAAGTAAGTTTGTATCTCGGAAAATATTTCCCACTACGAGTGGTAAGGATATTCACATCTCATTGTTTTAGCAAATTCCGGATGCCTTGCAGAATTGAAACGGTGACGCGCAGTCGCAAAAATCAGACATCTCATTCGCTTGGTATTAAAGCGCGAAGTGACACAAGGAGTCGCGCGGGGCGGACGCGAGCAGGGGCGGTGGCGGGGGGTCGCTCCTGCGCCT